AGAGTTGCCATTTCCATGCACTAGAGCTAAGTAACCTAACTCTGGACGGCATCTTTTTTAATGGGTACAAATCTTTTGGTAGTTGGTACTTATGAATATTAGCAGGACAATGGTCCAAAATTGTTTCCATTATGTTTCCCATCATCTTAGAATAGGAAAAAAAATAGTATAAATTCTGGCATCATTTTAAAAGAAGATGGTTTGGTCCTTTTTCAAACGAGGGGATTAAAGAACACATTCTTTCGGATTGCCTTTCTCATGCATCAAAAAGCACCTGAGATATTTAAAGATCAAGTGGATTTGAAAATACAGATGGAGATGGAGTATATTGCAATGTATTTTTCTCACATGGGGCTCGGATGTGTCAGTTGTGATTTACTGACTTGGGTTTATGTGTTTTTTGGATTCTTACCAAATGCCTACTAGGAACATCAGGAGCTGCCAACACAGCTGCATAACTTTGACTTTTGGGTCAAAGTTATTGGATTACCGCCATAAATATTCTTAAAGCTAATGTGTTACACTGGCAGAGCAAATACCACTTGAATACAATATAGTACATATTGCAGTGTTCTACCTAAATGTGAGCACACCAGTTATACTAATATAATGTATTTTAGGCTTGTGAGATGCGTGTCTAATATTTTAAACAAATTGTTATTTAATACCAATACAGGAATCAATATAAAACACTACTTAATTTCTGGATGAATCCTGAAAATTTGTTTCATGGATAAACACTTTAAAAACAGATTTGGATGGGTGGGGTAATAAAGGGCAATATTCCATTTTGGCTGTTTTTGTTTTGCTTAATCCGGAGGCAACTGGCTGAAATAAAACTCTTAAGGTCGATCTTTAGTAAAGTTCAGACAGAACATTGGCAGTGAATCAGAAAGGAAGTTAAAGTGATCATTAACATACCTTTGTCAATATATTAAGTGTAACTTTGTTTTATTTTTGTTCAGTGGGGCATAATATATCATTCAGCCATGCCTACCTTTTAAAGAGCTATTTTAGGAAACGGATGAATCTGCTTTCACTCCTTCAAATACAATGTGAAATGTCAACATGCATAGCTAATTTTCTGAAAGGCTTACTGCAGACTCTCATGGTATTATTTCCATTCTTTTTCAAATCCCTTCAAAAACTAAAGAACCTGTACACGTGTATTGTACACATTTTATTTCATAGTGTTCCAAATTATTTGGGTTGAGGCTCAATCATTTCCAGAAAGTGAGCTCAGTGAACACAGATAGAAGACATAGCACTATAAAACATAATAGATTGCAGAGGAATTAAAAGATAAATTCCATTCATCATACAAAATACCATTAAAACTGGGTCGAAACGTTTGTGACACTATATCCATCCCATGGCTTTACCAGATTGTACATTGAAAAAAACTGGGATATGTCCCGCAAGAGCCAACTGGGAGTCCAAATTTTTGTTGGTTATCACATTCACTTGATTCTTTCAGCTATAGAATGAGATGATGAGACAATAGTTGTAAATAAAATATGTGTCACCAACACGCTACACGTACAGCCATTTCCTAACCAGTAGCTTGATGTAATTTTATGTGGTTTTTTTCCCCCTCCAAATGAACTGAAATCTGAGGCTCAATTCAATCTAAACAAGTCATACTGTAGTGGTCTAGACTCTAGAGATTCTTAATTGTGGTATTTGTTGCACAAGTATTGTTGCATGGAATTGATTGGAATGAGCTTGTGATACAGAAAAAAAAGTTTTATGGATTTAATTCTCATGTTGATTTAGAAGAGATTGGAAACAGGGAAGATTTTGGAATTAGGATGCAGAGCCAAAGGAAACATTTCTGAAGATGTCCATGTTTTTCCTACTCTGGTGATATTCCAGAAGTCTTTAAAAACTGACTTTTCCCATGCATTGGGGCGATCTGTTGAGTGCACTTAGTGTATGGAGTTTGTCTTGTCTGGTTTCCTCTGTTTATTGTTTTATTTTACCCTTTTAAGATTCAAGCTACCTAAAGTAATTCTGGACTGCAGAAACCGCTAAATCTTATACAATAAAATACATATATTAAGGCTTTGTTTTAAAATTATACAAAAAATAGTGTGATTTCTACTCAGAGAAAATACTTAGAATATAGACCATGTAGTCCTCGACTTACAACAGTTCATTTAGTGACCCTTGAAAGTTACAACGGCATTGACTTATGACTGGTCACGTTAATCAACCAGTTAGATGGCGGGCTGCTCAGCTACTCCCTCTGGCTCATTATGAGCTCTCTTGAGACCACCTTGATTCCCATGGGCCATATCGCTATTACGTCTGGCACCGGGGGGGGGGGGGGAATTATCCCACACCCCATAGTTGCCCCTCCCCCCATATGAATGACAGAAATGAAGTAAAAAGAATATAGCTTCAGCTAAAGTCATTTTGAGAGTTGATACTACGAATATGTATAAAATCATTCTTCATTTAATAAATATTAAAATATATAATTATAAATATTTGATAGTACCAGTGTTTAATGAATGAGGATAGAAACTGGGATACTATGAGTTTTAGTCCTGTCTTAGGTACAAAGCAGTTGGGTGACCCTAGGCCAGTCCCTCTGTGTCAGCCCTAGGAAGGCGGCAATGGCACTGCAGAAAAACCTTGCCAAAAAACCTGCAGGGATTAGTTAAAACAGTCACCAGGAGTTAAATAATTTATTTGAAGGTGCACGTACATGCGAATGCACACACATACAGACCCACAGTACTGTATAGTAGATTCTGCATGCAAATATTTACCAGTATAGTGGCTGGATGGGGTGAATAGGATTTTTATTCAGGACGTTAGTTCAATTATTAAATTTGGCTTAAGAAGGCATTACTACCTCCAAACTAAAAATCTAACACAGTGAATGGTGACCATTTCTATCCCCTCAATGTGTTTCCAGGTGCTTTGTATGGTTTTGGACTAGAATATTTTAAGGGTTTACTCCAGCTGAGCTATTTTTCTCCGAGATGAAGATTGCAAAAACTTTTTCTCAAAATGGCCTCTCCAACTCTGTACACCAAATGCTCAAGGAATTCTTCAGAGCATTGGATGGCTTTGTTTTCAATTTGGTCTGGTTTTTAATCCATCATTTTAAAATATAATGGCAAGATTAAAACACCATTACCTTTCTGACTGCTGGATTGTTACGTTGATGTTAATTGTTTTTATATTTTGTGCCCTTCTTCCTACTATCTTAAATCATCAAAGTGCCAAGTAAAGTATCTGTGGTAAAAGGTGATGCTCACATAAGTGATGAGAGTCAACACTTGTTCTGATTATAGGTAGTCCTCGCCTTACAACAGTTCAAAGTTATAAAAGCGCTGAAAAAGTAACTTATGACCATTTTTACCCTTACAAACTTTGTAACATGTATGTGATCAAAATTCAGATGCTTGGCAACTGGTTCATACTTACGATCGTTGCTATGTCCCAGGATCATACTATCACCTTTTGCAACCGTTTGACAGAAAAAATCAATGGGGAAGCCAGATCCACTTAGCAACCAGATTACTAAATTATCAGCTGCAGTGATTCACTTAATATCTTTGGCAAGAAATGTCATAAAATGGGGCAAAACTTACTTAGCAAATGTCCCACTTAACAGAAATTTTGCGCTCAACATTTGTCCTATCTGTGCAGTGAAAAGCAACTAAATCTACTACGTACACTTTCCCAAATGCTTGGACGATTTTGTAGGGTATATACCGGTAATTTGAATGAGTTTTTAAATCTTGTTTGAATGATCTATTATTATAACATGCTCCTGGCAAATCTGTTGTATGAATTAGAAAGCCAAACTCTTTTTAAAAGTGTGGAAGCTGTGGATATTCCTTCCGGCATATTGCTAAAATGTTCTATCTAATCTCTCCTTCAGACTTGCCATTCTAATTATTCTTCTCCTTAAATGCAGTTAGGCTCAATTTAATAGCAGTTTGGAGACATTTAGTTTTTAGATGACATTTTTGCTGTGCTAACAAGGAAGTATATAACTCTGCTTCTGGGCATGTATTTGTTGTTGCAGTTGCTTCCAAATCTTTGTAACCTTGAACTATTAGTACACTAAATACTTATCTAAATTCTTGTTAAACTCCTACTACTGCTGTCACCAGCTATCTAAAACTTTAATACATGTTCTTGTTTTGGTTATTGAAAACCATGAAGAATGAAGATGCTACTGATCTAAAGATATCAAACTGCTATTCTGAGTCTTAATAGTTTCTTTTTAAAAAGGGTGACGTAATTCTAGACCACACACAAAATAAAATTCAATGACTTCAGTAGGCCATTTAGGTAATCAAAGTCTTTATTCAGAAACACTCTTTTAAGTAAATGGGCACCCAGAAGAACAACTATCATCTCTATTCAAGATTCTTCAGATGGGAACATCTGATCCCATCCATTATTGGTCTTTCTGAATGACAACTCTGACATAAAAGGGGGTGGGTGGGGGAGAAAGGATTTTAAGTATGGGAAGAAATGTCCAGAAGGATTTCTAACGATTGCGAGCAGGCTTCCTGTTTATAATTATTTGCCTTGAAGCGTCCTAAGACCTAAGTAGGATTTAGGAAGGAGAACCTTTTCCACACATTGTAGAACTTCCAGTCCAGGATTCGAAAGGGGGAGGAGGGTGTTAGGCGAAGAATCAACAACGTAAGAAAAGAGAAACAGCAAAGGTGAAGGCAGGCGGGAAAGTAAAGAAGCACACACACACACACACACACCCTCAAAAGCGCACGAACAAGCACACAGATATGGGACGGACACATACACACGAATTCTAGTCCGGACCTTTTTGTGGGTTGAAGCAACTTTTTAGCGGTGGGTGGTCAGTTATCTCTCGCATGGCTAGGAGAAAGGAAGAACTCTTAGAAAGGCTCCCCGGGCCAGAAAGGCGCGGCCACCCATCCGAAGCTCGCTCTCTTTCTTTGGGTTTGCTCGCCAGGCGTCCCAAGGACACTTCGCCGGCCTTCCTTTCTTCGCCGGCGCGGGAACAGACGCGGAAGGCGGGGAGGTTGGGTTGGTGTGGGCAGTGACGCGCCATTGCTGCCTCCGCCGCCGCCTCCCGGCTCCCTCCTCCTGCTTCCTGCGTTGCCTTGCGGGGGCGGCCCCGCCTGCAGCTGCTGCGCGGAACTTGCCTGGAAAAGCCGAAGAGCGCCCGAACCAACCAGGAAGGGAGGGAAGAAAGTTGTTTTTAGGCTGAGGGGCTTCTCTTGTTCTCTTGGTTTCGCGATGTTGGGGGTGGCGGCTGCTGGAATGACCAACAGGTAAGTCCGTCCCGGATACCTCTGACAGCGCCCGAGCGCTTCATTCATTGCTGAAAGTCACCCACCGGGCCGCCGTCCCTGCTCGACCCCGTGCTCTCTCCCTCTGCTTCTTTCCCGGCTCCTCGGAGGAGAGAAGCTGTAGGTTCCTCCTCTCCGCCTCTCGTAACTTTCGGGGAGGCTGCATCCCCTTCCCTCCCGGGCGGAGAAAGGAGGGATGAGATAATCCCACCGCGCCCTCCTGCACCAGCCGCAGCGCCGAGGGGAGGCGGAATCCAGGTTCTCCGGGAAAGGCGCGCGCCAAGGCGGCGGAGGCTCCTGAAAGAAAGGGGGGGCCGGGGGGGGGCGGGGGGGTGTGCCGCCCAAGGGGCGGGGGGAGGGTGGGGGGGGGGGGGGGGGGGGGGGGGGGCGGGCAGCCGAAGAAATACGCCGCCTGGGGTTGGAGCAAATGGAAGGGAGCTTCGTGCGAGGAACAAGAAATCGGCGAGCTGAGAGTGCGCGCGCGGAGTTGGGGCCAAGAGAACTTTTCTGGGGAAGTGGGAGACAAGCCGGGCCGGTGCCCAGGAGGGGACGGTATTGGGCGTTCGTGGCGGCAGGCACCTTATGTCAGACACGCGGAGGCAACTGAGAAAAGGGAGAGCCGTAAATGAGAAGTTTAAGAGCTGTTGCTGTCTTGGGACACATTAATCGGACACTTTCCTTCTTCTTTCCCCCCCCCCCACCCCCCCCCCCCTCTAAATTCGACGTGGCTGCAAATTGCCAGCAACGGTGAGGAAAGCCACGTTTACCTCAAGGGGAAAATCTGTTGGGAGCCATGCGGTGGGCGGGGCAGGAGCAAGAAGTGGGTGGGGCCGAGATCAAAGACACGCCTCTGTTCCTTTGATCCTTTTGATACTCTCTTGAATTCTTTCCGATCTAACCCAACTGGAGTGTTGGAAGTAAAACTTATTTTTCTTTTCGGTTTGGTGTGCAGAGAGTCCTTGACTTATCACCACAATTGAGCCCAACATTTCTGTTGCTAAGTGAAACATTTGTTAAGTGAGTTTTGCCCCATTTTACAACGTCTCTTGACAGTTGTTAGGTGAATCACTGCAGTGTTGAGTTACTAACACTTAAGTGAATCTAGCTTCCCCATTGACTTTGATTGTCAGAAAGTCACAAAACGTAAACACGTGTCCTCAGGACACTGCAACCATCATAAAAATATGAATCTCTTGCCAAGCATCTGAATTTTGATCACATGAGCATGGAGATGCTGCAACGGTCGAAAAAAGGTCCTAAGCCACTTTCTCGGTATTTTCGGTCAGTAAAGGAACTGTCGTAAATCGAGGACTACCTATAGAGGTTAAAATGCCAGACTAAAAGCCAGGAGGGAGCAAGTTCTAGGCTGCCATTAATCATGAAAGCCAGCTGGGTGACTTTGGGAGTCTCTCTCAGTCCAGCTTTTGTTGTTGTGGGGGAAATAGGAGTGGTAGTATTAGATATGTTCACTGCCTTAAGGTATGTATAAAATGGTGAGATAAAAATACAAAATAGAGAAAGCCGTACAAAATGAAGGAACTAAAATGCTCTGGGATTTTAGACTTCAAACAGACAAGCACCTGTCACATAACATGCCAGATTTAACAATTGTCAATAAGAAAGACAAGGCTGGATAGTGGAGTTGATAGCACCTGGAGGCAGTTGAACAGAAGAGAAGGAACTGAAGAAGGCAACAAAATACAAAATCTTGCAAACTGAAATAGAACGACCATAGCAAAAGAAATTAGAGATAGTACCAACAGTAATAGACGTCTTGGGTGCAGTCCCGAAACAACCAGAGCACCACTTGAACACCATCGGCATTGACAAATTCACCATCAGTCAATTGCAAAAGGCAGCTTTATTCAGAACAGCTTACATCCTGCAGTAATACCTTTAACACCATCAAGCATCCAGGCCTGTTTATCTTTGGTCCTTGGGAAGGGTTAGATAGGTGGACAAAAATGCCAACTCCAACCTGAACATCTGGCTGACTATGTGACGAACCATAATAATAAAAATAACGTATACTTAACAATGCAAGACTTTGGCTGCAGTTCAAAAGCTGAACCAAATGGAATGAAATGTAGTATGTCAGGCAGAGTTTGTGAGGAAAAGATCTTACTGGAAAAATAGGGTAGATCAGCCACGGGGCTGCAGATTTTAAAAAATGGAGTGGGGGGGGGAAATCACCACGTGTGTCTATGCGAGAGGCTGTGGCTCAGAAGGTTGGTGGCTGCTCCGTCCTCTGTGCTTCTCCCTTCCAGTTACGTGACTCTGAAAGCATCCTACACTTTCACCCTTTGATTCCAATAGACAGACATGCACTATGATTCAGTATGAGGAAAGAGAAGAAATATATGCAATACGATGCTTCACTACTAAGAAGAATACCCAGATGCCTTTTATAGCCACTGTTCTGCACGCTTTCCCTGCCCTGTTTCTTTCTCGAGCCAAAGTTACAGGAAAGGGATAAATAGCTCTTCCAGGAGTCTGAACTGATTAATTGCATATGTTTTGAAGTTAGGATAAGAGCTCAAGTGAAATTAGCCTGAGGGCTTCGGTTTGCCAGGTTTTGGAATTCAGCAATGGATGCCAATTGACACATTCCTTTACAACGCCACAAATCATGGCTTGCAAAAAATATACATTTAACAGGCAGCGACCTACAGTTCCACAGCTGTCTTTATAAGATTACCTCTGTGATATACATTTTTTCTAAATGCATTTTCTGTCACATGTATACCACTTAAAAATAATATATGAACTAATCTTTAAAATAAAATAACAGTAATATGTGAAGCAGTCAAGAGAACTGTTTTTACGCTTCTTGCCCTTTGTGATTCTCTTTTGGGGTATGGAAAACACACAAAAAGGTAAATTAAAATCATGAGATAAAGGAAACACAGTGAAAGTAATTTACCTCAAAACTTCATTCACTATAGTTTCCCATATTTTTTCCCCTTGCAAACTATGATTGTTTCTACCATGTCACCACCAGCTTCATACATGTTTTCTTCTTTAAAATTCTCACTTTTCTCTATTACAGGATCCTAACAGTTTCCTCAGTCGTGTCTTTTCCCTTTTCTTTTAGACCACTCACTTTTTCTTAATATATTTGTTTTATAATTCAATACTGATGCATTCTTTTAATATACCTCAGCATAACTCTTACATGCTAGTCATTCATTTTTATCCTATTATGCATAGATTATCCCACAAATGCACACTTTGTACTTTTGAATGAGGGAAATTTGACTTTATATTTTACTACATGCAGTTAAGTGCCTCATTCTCATTTCATTTATTTCAATGGTAAAACCCATTTCCATTTAATTTATCCGTATAATATACTCCATATACTCAGAAAGCATATGAAGTCATTTGTAAGAGTCACTGTTTGGTGCCTCAAATTCCTACATGCTCATGTTATCCATCTATTATGGGGATGTCAAACTTGCAGCCCACGGCCCAGATACATCAGACACTGGCCATGGCCACCCCCGCTTTAGCGAAGGGTGAAAAAGTCATGATAGGTCATGTGACAATGTGATGACATGAATTTGACATCCCTGAACTAGCAGATAGATTGCTATAAGCAGTCCTCAAATAAGTGCATCAAAGCTACTAGTCCACATTTGTTAACCCATCTAACCATAATTTTGGTACATGTAGTCCTCAACTTACAACAGTCCATTTAGCAACCATACAATGTTACAATGGCACTGAAAAAAGTCTCTGTGCTTACAACATCCCCATGGTCATGTAATCAAAACTTGGGCCCTTGTCAACCAGCATGCATTTACAATAATTGCAGCACCCCAGGGTTTTGCAATTACCATTTGATTTGCAAACTTCCCAGCAAGCCTCTGACAAACAAACTCAATGGAAGAAGCCCCATTCACTTAACAGCCACATGATTCATTTAACAACTACATAGATTTACGTAACAAGCTAGCAAACAAGGTTGTGAAATTGAATGTGATTCACTTAACCATCTTGGTCAGTCCCAATTGTGGTTGTAGGTCTGTCTGTATGTGGTTGAAATTATATATCCCTTCTCTATATTTCCTTGCTCCCCACTGTCTGTTGACTTTTCTTATTTCAATAGAACAGCTCTGCTCTGTAATATTTACTGTACAAAGTGGAAATTATTTTGGTAAAAGCTTTCTTAATGTCTTTGTCAAGTAAAATGGAATATTTAAAAATAGCTTTTTCCATAAAGCCAAAATCCTACTCTTTGAACTTTCTAAAACAAAATGGGATCTGTTCAAATTTAGAAAAGACCCTCTCCTCTCCTCTGTGGGATACATTGATGTAGTTTTCTTCTTTCACAAGATAATTTTTCTTAGAAAAAGTAGAGATGTCAAGCAATCTGTTTACAGGCATTTCTCATTTTGTAAGAAACTGAGCATTACATAGAAACAGAAAAATGACAGCTGAAAAAAATCTTAATGATCCATCAAGTCTGCTCTTTTGTTTTGTTTTGAATTTATATATCATTTTTAATTATTAATTTTTATTATTTTATATTTTTGTCAGATGATGGATATGCGTTTATCCCAAGCATTTTAGACTCCATTACTGATGATTGACCCACTATCCTTACTCAAAGTCAATTCAAAGTGTTCACTATTCTTTTTGTGAAGTAATACTTTCTAACATTACTTTTGAACTTCCCTCTTTTCAGTCTGAGGTTATGCCCCCATGTTCTTGATTTTTGTTTAATATTGAAAATGCTGCTTTCTAAAATGTTATTCATATCTTTAATATATTTAAAGATTTCAGTCATGTCACTTTTTTCACTTCTGTCATTCAGGCTGTACATATTTTGTATGCTGTTCCTGGATCCTTTGCAAACTGTATTTTGCATGTTTGATTCATACTTCATTAAATTAAGAGAGAGAGAGAGATTGCATAATAAAAATTAAAATACAGCATGTATGCTTAAAAAAAGACCTGTAATCATGCATAACCTACTT